TGAAGCAGCTATCAAAGGGTGACTGAAGAAAGGAAGCTAGGGAAGGATAGTCGATCAGCCGGGCGGCCTTTCGTTTCGCACAATGATAAACGGAAAGAGCAGAAGACGAAGCACCACCCCACGCGTGATTACAGTATCCAGGAACAGGGCGGGATTTGAAGTGAACTGAGGTGAAGTGTCTGTCGTGGAATGAAAAACCAACTTTGGTCGCAGCGCGAGAAGTAAGCTGATATATAAAGGGGACCAGCATAAAGAAGAGGTTATAAGCAATCCAAGAAGAAAAATAGGGTTTGTGGAGTGCGGTTGTGTGGAATGAAAAGGTTAGTGTGCGTGCATGGTGGGTATGAATTGTATTTGAAAATCATTGAAAGAAGGCAGGTTTTGTAATCATTGAATGCAACATGGTTGTGATTACTCCCGGGGTAGGTGTGCTCGAAATCAGAGTTAAGTGACGCATTAGCTGTACTACGGTCGCGATTGGTGTTGGTTTTCACATGGCGAATAGTGTGGCAGGAGAGAGAACAGTTGAGAATGGCGTCATGGGCAAAAACGTGCATTGGAACAGCAGTTTTTGGAAAGATGTCATCGATGAATGGAGGAAAGAGTGGGAAAGTCAGTACTCACAGGTGAAGGCTGAGATAGAACTCCATCATCTCGGACAGTGATGTTTTCCTTACTAAAGGAGCTTGATATTCACAACACGAGAACCGAAGGGAACCTCAACATGGGCAGTTTCGCCAGTAGACCTTCGTGCAAAACTCGGTTGAAGGCTTTTGAGGTATCAAACGAGACTAACTGTGTTTCTCCGTGGTTATCAAGTACAGTCAGGATTGCGAGACAAGTGCCATCAGGTCGCCGGTGGTCCAACTCCGAGGGAAGCCATACCAACGGTCGATAAGTGGTCCTTCACGTTCGATAAACGCACACAGGCGGTTGGAGATGGTGGTTTAAGATCTTTCGAAAAGACAGGCATCTTTGTGCACCGGTTTTGGTTGCTGTATCATGACTGCTCATTTGGATGAAGCAATAAAGAGAAGATTAGAATATTCAAATCACTGTCGGAGTGAAATTAGAGAATTAATGAAGACTAAGGTTGCAAAGAAATTGAAAAGGTATTCCAGCGTCACAGTTGCATCAGAAAGTTCACCGGCTTTGAGAATGAAAAAATCACAGCGTGTTTAATAGCGGTCTGAAAAGTAGAAAATCGGAGGGCAAGACAGAAGCTAACTCCGGAGCACACATTTCGGGAAAGGTCGTTGGAATACCGTCCTGACCGGGTGACTCGCTTGCGTTCAGCTAGCACAGAGCAGACGCAACCGAGTTCATCACATGGGCAACACACTCAAGCATCAAAAGAGAAAATATTGACAATTCAGTTTCGTTCGGCCCTATTCATGATATTAGTCATTTGAGTAGCACGTCTTGGAACACCCTCATTATCACGGGGATGCAAGCGAAAAAGCGGTGCTTACTGAAATCTTTCTTAAAATTAGGCATAATCCTATTAGGCCTCCAGCTTCGAGAAATCACTTCAGTAGACTTGCACAAATTAAACAAATTTGTGACAAGCTTAGAAAGTTGCTTAGCACATCCGTATCTCGATCAACCTGTTGGCTGTATAACATAGATTCTTGGGGATAGTCTGTAGGTCTGATCGTTGGTTGTTTGTAGTCAAGGTTTTAGAGTCCCATGTGCTAAGACGGAATTCCAACCGCAACACTAACGCACAGTAATTTTAGGGGCCCGTAACTCAACACAGGTAATCAGAACATACAAGAAAGCGTGCTAATCGGAACCGGGTTAGCGATTTATTGGATGATCGTGAGAATACATCAATCGATTGAACGATGACGTCAAACTAGGCCAAGCTGGCTCACGGACAAAACGGACTGGAAGTGTCT